AACATAAGTCACAATTTGTATCACACATAGCAAGGACATAAAAGTATGTGGGAAAAGGCAGTTGCAATGCACCTTTAAATATGTTCCATTTTACAGTGTGGTGTAAATTCAACTTCTCTATTTTCCAACACTGCATCTGATGAAGCAGTAAGCTCATTCTCAAACTCTCAGCAGAAAAATGATATCAACAAAATTCTCCGCTTTGGAGCATGGCCTCTGGGCTAAAGTTGTCTTCAGCTACTGAACTGGAAAACCATGGCCAAGTAGCAGGGTGTTATCATCATAGTTAAAAAGGTGGCAGGGAAAGAAGCCAGCTGAACACAGTGATAAGAGGCTGGATCAGCTGGGCTGGCTAAACCTGAAACAGAGAGGCATCCCAGACAATGGCTACTCCCATGGCACTGGTGGTCATGAACAGATGAACCATGTCAAGATACGGTCAAGACCTCTTCCATCAGTGATTGCCATGGTCCCAAAGCAGGACAAAATTGGATGGGTTGCAAATGGGCCAGAACAATTGGACCTTTAATAGTATGAAGAGGATTTTCATGAATTGAGGACAGAAAAAGCATAGAGAACATAGAGTTTTCAGAGAACAGGAACTTAAAAGAGAATGTAGCCCAGAAACTTAAAAAAAAAATCAACATTGGCACAGAGCCATTCACTATTAAAGACAACCTTCATTCCTCACGTTCAATTTTATTTTACCACTTGGTATATTAAAACAACATGCTGATTTTTCCAGGTTTCATAATGGCTATTCTGGAATTTAAGTTATTCCATAGTAATCTATGTACCATAATGATAACTTACCTTATTATGTGGCTGAACAAAATGCAAAATAAATTTTAGAAATCTGAAAGCATGTTCCATTTGATTGTGTGGGTCTGTGGCAGTACACTGTTCTGTACCAGCGGTCAGCTAATTTAGGATACAATGGCAGAATTGAATAATTGTGACAGACTGTATGATCAGCAAAGCCTCAAATATTTACAATCTGATTCTTTGTAAAAAAAAAAAATGTTTTCCCATCTCCTGGTCTATTCAACTGTACTGTATATTTTTTTTTTTGCCTTATGCTGCTCTAAGTACCTTTTGAAATGAGGTAAGAATTTCAATGAGCAAATAATCACTTTCCAACAGTAGCTCCCCTCCTTTTTGTGATATGTGGGGGCTTTAATGAAGGACAGATCTAAGGCTGACAGTCATGCAATTACGCGCCCCCCCCACCCACTGCAAAGGGAGGCCCGCCCACCTGCCACAGCTTGCTGGTAGGTGGCCTGGGCTTCCCTCTTTGGGGCAATTTTGGAGCCCCCCATTGATTGATTGCCCCAGTGGCCGGTGGCCTGGGTCTCCCTCTACAGGGCGATGGCCAGGCCCTGGAACAATTGAATAGCACCCTCTTGGCTGGCTTGGTGCCAACGGGTGTCATAGCATGGTCGTCTGGAAGGTCCTTGATTTGCATATTACGCTTTTATTATTATAGACTAGGCATGCTATGCCATACATTATAGTGACTCCATATTCTATTTTGTTCTTCTGACATGCTGGTTTCCCTGTTTTATTATCTGATGAACTAGCCTGGACTCAAAGTGAAAAACTTGTTTTTCTGCAGAGAGCTGACTTTTTTGCTCAGGTTTTTTGTTTGTTTTCTTTCTATTTGCATGTGCTCCTGTGGGAATTTCATGTACACATGCTGTTCAGCAGTCAGCCATGAATGCAAAGAGTACATTATCTCAGCCCTTGCATAGCTCTTGGCTTCCAAATCTCCCCCTTAAATTTCTAGCTGCTTGGTTACTCCCCGCAAACCACATCAGCCATCTCTAACCAGTAAACCTGTTTTTAACACTGGTGTATGTGTGTTGGGGGGAGAAGGGCAAGGGAAAGATAGGGAGATGAGAATACCCTCCGGCGTCTTACCCAATTCAGTAGCAGTTTTTCATAAGTGAGCATTCTCAAATTCTTTACTGTCCCTGATTATTTTTGAAATGGTTGCAATCAATAACTCTTGTAGTTTTATACTATTTTTTATGAAGTATCATCCAAATGAGGCTGGCAGCCATCAGTGGAAATAGAGTCTTAACCATAATTTAAGCACTTACGATATATTATCATGATCTCATTGAACATTATATGAAATCAGATTACTTCAAAAATTAGCCAACAACAGTAGCAGGAAACAAACTTCTTTTTGGCAAAAATTAAATTTCAGATCTAATTTCTATAGGGTTGGTAGAAACAGTAAAAGAAAAATGTAAAAGAAATACAATATAAAGAAATATGATGTGACCATGGTCCGTTAATCCCACTAAGATCTTTAAAATACATATACCTACCAGGGAAATTTTAAATACATGAAGTTTTTTAGACAAAAGAGTCAATTTGATTTAGACCCAAACCTCCTGTTGAGGGGGGAAAAAGCATTATTGAGTATAGACTATAGAGTATCTCTCTTGAAATGTAGAGTTCATTGACATTTAAGAAAATTACCTTGAAGGCGGCTAAACAATGCAGGCTCAGTAAGGCCATCACTACCGCCAGAAGGATGGTGGCTAAATTCCGAATGTCCCAGATGGTCTCTACCAGAGGAATACTGCCGACCTGCCAGTCATAGCACAGGGTAACAGGTGCAAGCAGAAGCCACACGTTGAAGGCCAAGAGGTAGGAATAGGTAAGGAACCTACGAAGAGAAGAAGAATCGCTGAAACATAACTCATGATCCATGATATTATTGAACCATTCATTCTCCCTGTTTCTATTAAATAGCATTTCTACACTGTCAACATTATCTTATAGGAAAAGGCAAGGTAAGATGGAATTCCTTTAGTCATTACATTGATCATTTTGGAAAATATCTAATAGTTTCTAGTCACTGTGGTAGACGCTGGCCTTTCAGTGGTGAACAAATAAAGACCTATTTTCCACGACATACACTTTAAAATTATCATGCAAATAAATACACTATAACCTGAGATAAATGCTAGAAAGGAAAAGTTTGATGAAAGCATATGACAGAAATGCTGCCCTTTTGGGTATGATTCCCTGGGTAAGAAACGTGTGAACTGTCCATCTTTAATAGTTCTCAGAAACCCATAGTAGATACGAAAAGATTTAATCATTTTAATAACAGATTATCATTTTTATAACAAGTTGATCCATACTGAATTATTTCCAAAAAATCAAATTATCTGTGGTAGAAAGACAATGTTTCTTATTCACAAGTGGAAAGACTAGCCATCCAGAGGAGGCAAGTCCCACTGTTCTTGCTAACATGGGAACAGCCAGGTGGACCTAGTGGTGGAGGTGTTACTCCTGTTTCCTGGCTGTGTCTAGGTACTACCAGACAGTGGAAAATATTCTAACTGATCCCATTCCTTTGAGGGTAGATAAAATGAAATTTATTAAATTTATTCAGTCAACACAAATTCATTAAGTCGTGTTCTAGACCCCTGAGAACTGCAGAACTCTCAGCACATACCAAACTCCATCCAAACCTCTGTATTAGGAGAGGACCAAACCCTAGCATTGATCCTAGCACCATAAGGCCACATGCCTAGGATGACCCCAACCTCCCACGAAAACGCTTGGCTGAGAAAGCTCACACCGCCAGAAGAATTTACTGTGTGTTCTAGCTAACACCTGAGGAGATGCCAGCCAAATCCCTTTCACACTGACCGACGTTTGGTCGTTTTTCACCTCTCTGACTCTGCTGAGCCCCAGCGTGGCCCCTCTCTCATTCTCCCTTTAAAGTTTCTAGTCATCTTTGCACAAATGAGACTAGTGCTCAGCTCTTCCTGATACTGTCAGTAGTTACTGAATAAAATCTATTTTCAATGCTTTAACTGATGTCCAGCTGTGTTTACCTTTGACATCCTAGATGGGATTCAACAGAATAATCAGGTAAATTCCTCGTCCTCGAGGAATGTACAACCCAATATAGAAAATAGATGTATAGAATTAAAGAAGCCAAACAAGATGAGCACCATAAGAGTACAGAATGTGAAGAAAAGTCCTCGCCTGTTTCTTGGATTCTTTTGGGGGAATTCTTTGGTTTGGCAAAGTCATTAGATCAGAGAATCTCTAAGTTGCCTTCCAGTGTGATGAGTCAAATCACCTTGCACTCCTCTCAACATTAACTGCTTGTTTGGAACATCCTTCCCAGGCCTTCCCAACTCGATCTCCTTCTCTTTCTTGATGGGGATTACTAGTATTCATCAACTCAACACTCAAATCCAAACAGACAAATGGGTTGAAGGGATAGAGATATTGCAATGGTCTTTCCCAACATTATTCTCTGCTATTTTTAATAAAATGTTAATGTACCAATAGTGTAGTATATATTGAAATCTTGAAGAAGTCCACGCTTTGTTATTTAACAAAAATGAAACCAAAATTTGCTGTCTCCCTTTTAGGCTTGATTCTGAGAAATTGTCTTATGAGAATGCCAACTTCATGGAAAGGGGATTGGGTTACTTTGCACCTCTGTTTTTTACAGAGCTTCTAAATGACCTAATTCTTAGCTCAGGAAGAGTCTCTGTGACAGCGTTAAGGAAGAATGCTGAATCATCAAACTTAGCAGGCAAGTCACACAGCTTTGTCACTCAGTGATACCCCAGGTCTCAAAAATTACTTTAAAAAATAATATCTCTTTTTCTTGATATCTTACCTAATAATAGACAAACATGTAAATTAACCATCCCTCTGCTATGCTCACGAGCCAATCAGGGGAGTATGCAAATTAACCCAATAAAGATGGTGGTTAATTTGCATACATAGGGGCGAAGCGGCAGAGCAAAGACTGAAGGCTCCATCCAGAGCCGTGAAGACTGAAGGCTCTGTCCGGAGTGAAGGCCTGGGTCCCGGGTGCCGGAGGAAAACCGGTGCTGGCAGTCAGGGGAAGGGATGGCCTATTGCACAAATCTCTTCATGCAATGGGCCTCTAGTTACAGTAATAAGCAATGATTATAAATGGCTGCAAAAAATTATTAGGTGAAAAGCTGATGGAATACTTTATAATGAACGGATCAGGCTAAATCAGGTGCCTAGAATTTGCTAAATAATTTTAAAATCATAGAACAGAGACCAACAGCCTGCTGTCCACTGGATGGATATAGTTACCCCTACATATGAAGCAGTCTTGTCAAAAATATTTAAACTTGAATCTGACCAAGCCCTTTGTTACCAGTTCACATCAAATACAGAAAACACTGGGACACACTAAAGGACACCACAGGCATGCAATATGCAAGATCTAGGATGTTGCAAATTCTAAAACACAAAGGATGGCTGTTTCTTCAACAAATAATGGTGATGAGATGGGGGTAGGGCGGGTGGCAGAAAGAAGAGTAACACATAAATTAAGAGTCTTAAAAGACATATCAAACAAAGTACAGCTTTTGTTTAGATGCTAACTCAGACAAACAACTATTAAAACTAATCACCTAAGAGACAGAAAAAAAATGAGACACTGATTGGATATATGATACTGGAGAATCATTGGTAATTTTTAAAGTATGATAAAGGTATTGCAGTTCTCTTTTGTAAGGGTCCTTGTCTTTTAGAAAAATATGCGAAAATATAAGCATATCAAAGGATCTGATATCTGGTATTTGCTTCACAGTGATGGACTGGAAGCAAGGAGAAAGAAGCAGATGGGGGTATGAATGAAAAATTGGCCATAAGTTTGGATTGCTGAAACTGGATAAGGGGTACATAGAGGTTCTTTATGCCATTTACTCTACGCTTGCACAGATCTGATATTTTCCATAACAAAGACTATATCTTTAAATGGGCAGAGAAGGCAACAACAGAATTGCAACAGGAATACTTCCATATATTATAGCTGCAAACACTATGCAGAATTTTTTATTTGAATATTAAGTTCACATTCCCTCTTGCCCTGCAAGTTGTCCTCAGTTTCTTATGTTTGTGAAACTTGCAATACCATACTAACAAAAAAGCAAATAAAGAATATTATTTTTTAAAAGTTAGAATTTCAACTTCATTATTTAGATTTTTCAAAAATGCTCATTGAGACTGTTGACACAGATTGTAACCCAAATTGGTTAAAAAAGTAATGTAAATCACAGACTAAAAGCAACTTCCTTCTTGTAATACTAGGTCAAGAGTATTAATATACCACAAAACTGTCAACTTACTCCTTTTAATACAAATGTATTGTTTCCAGAAACTCAGAGATATAGCCTACCTTTCATTGCATATGATTTCAGATCAATGTTGATAATAATAAATGGTTTAAACATTATTTGAAATACTGAAACAGCATTGCAAAATTTTTACAAATTTAAGCATAAAGAAGGTACTTGAAATCACACCAAAAGTTAACTATATTTTAGGGGGCTAGTGGAGCTAGTTGAAATCAGCAACTGAAGTATTTCTTCTTAACTCATTGACTATGAATTACATTTCAAACTAATCATCTTGTTTATTTCTGCTAAAATTTCAGGAATAAAATGATATGTTGAGTATCTATGCCTGGCTAGGCTTGGGCTCTCTTTTTTAAAACCGGAGCAAGAACAAAAATGAATTATTTACCAATTTTCTATCATGAATTCTGCTAACAGGAGGGAAGCCACTAGAATATCTTGTGAAAAAAATGGAATATACAGCACAGGAAGCTAGGAATTCAGCTTAAACAATTCAGTCATGTATTTTCACTGATAAGCCACGAAATTCATGAAAAGTAAAAGGAAGATGAGGCTGTGGGGAACTGCCATGCATCAAGGGGAACCTAATGAAACTGTGAGGCTCTTTAATCTAAATCTTCACTTTTGTCAAGAAAAAAAACTAGAGTGCTTGATGTGCAAAAATATGCATAGATTGTTCTTTGCCTTTGAAAAGAAGCTTTCTTTCTTTTTTTTTTTTTGCTAAGAAATAATGTAAACCTAATGTATTTTCTTACCCTAGAAAGATGCCTATGATAGCTACATATGAAAAATCAGGCACTCCATAAATGTATAGCACTTGCATGTTTTATATGAAAAATGTTACTGCCCAAAGAATCCTTTTTCATTCACCCCCAAATCATCCACTGTTTCATAAATACTACAGAGCATGGCCCGACTATACCACCTGGTGGCCTCTTGGGAAGGACAGTGGCTAAACTGTCAATGTACCAGCCTTGGTGTAAACTACCTTTACTGCCACAGTGGATGGCCCCAGACTCGGCCTCTACCTACTAGTTTGAGAGATCTGCCCTGCCCTTCCCTAGGCTCTTCCCTATTTTCAACCCCTGAATTCCTATGGATGCTTCCAAGGACCTCCGCAGTCTCACTGTGCCCAGCAAAAATGACAGACCTTTTCCAGGCATAACCTGCTCCTATCACCATTGGCATCTCCTTCCCCTGCCTATCACCTGCCCCAGGACTAGCCAAAGATGCCCCTTCTTACACTATCCCTCTCAATAGACAGGAGAGCCTCACCAGAATCCAATAAAAATTGAGTAATTACTTTGCACTTCTCTAAGTGCTGAAGGGTAATAAAACTTAGTCCCTTACCCTCTCTCATCGAGTGAAGGTTTAGCCTCCACTGAGCAAACATGTGCTGACTGCTTTCTGCACATCAGGCACAGGTTTTCAGATTTCCATACAAGAATCCCATTGCTATAGTAACGAACTTCATTCAACATTAAAACCCCTTAAACATGTCCAGGATTTTCCA